AAACTAAACTAGCTGAAGGGGCCTGACAGCTGAGTGGACAGCGTTCGGGATTCGTAATCCTGAGGTTTCGGATTCTATTCCCGGTGGAGGCGGAAACAAATGTGCAGAGTTTCTTTCATCCTGATGCTCCTGTTCACCTAGCAGTAAATAGGTACCTGGGAGTTAGACAGCTGCTACTGGCTGCTTCCTGGGGATGTGTAACTAAAAGGAAACATGGTCGAGGACCGGGCCGCGGGGACGCTATGCCCCGAAATCGTCTAGAGAGAAAAAAAGATGACTTTAGAAGCTCAATCTATTTGCAGAACTTAAAAAAATATATATTTTCTATTTAGGTGTTAATTACCTAGTTAAAATCGTGCATGGAAAGCTTATTTCTCGATTTTTAATGCAACATTCAGAGACACACATGCAACGGGACACTTGATAAAGTCCAAAGGTTTCTCCATAATAAACTAAACTAGTCTAAGGTTTTCAACTAGACAGGATCTATAGGTAGCCTAGCTATAGATCTCCCTATGTATAGGCTGTGGGGAAAGGTAGACTTGTTTATTCCTCTTAGCAACTGAACAAGACGGCGAGAATATAATGTGGATACTCAGACGAGGCAGAGGAAGGAAGGCCAGGAAGTGAGCAAGTGGAATGAGTTAAAGGGGGGAGGAAGTTGAGGTTTATCAGATGGCGGGCGGGACGATTGGCAGCCCCATCTCCAGGATGCAACTCTGTAACAGTTGACTAACTCCCAGGTATACCCATTTACTTCTAAGTGAACAGACGCATTAGGTGATAGCAAACGTGCCCAATCATTTTTTGTCGCGTCAGGGGTTCCCTATTGTGAGCCGGAATGAGCCCAACTGTACCAGCGTGGCGGTATTGCATATAAAACTATTGGCGAGAGACTATCAGTTACACTGAACTAAAGGATAACTCTTAATCTGCAAACAGGAGTCTGGAGACTTCTGCTTCAGAACCCACTAGTGTAAATACATGGAGGGGATAGTGCGTGCGAGGTATGTTCACTACACTAGGCTCGCACAGGCACTAGGATCAAACAGCCTAGCCTCAAGATGTGGATGTGTGACATCACGCGCACTCGGCCTTGTCTCAAGGTGTGGAGGCGTGACCTCACTCGCTGAAGTGGAGAGATCATGCAGTAATTGTGTCGTCCTACCGAAGCACCCAGCAAGACACGCAACCAGTCACCGCCATGTAATAGCTGATGTCGTGCCAGCAGTAGTTCTTTTCCCAATATATAAATTTATTACATTCCCCGAATATGAAGAGCATTTCATGTGACAGTAATTTATAATTATTTTGTCTTTGTGTGTTACTGGGCGTTCCCTGTCCCTGGCTGATTGCCAGACTTTTCTGAGGGGCTGTGTGAGGCATGTGGATGATGCAAGAGGCTGCGGTAGGTGGCAAGAAGCTGTAGATTGCGGGAAGCTGTGGAAACTGAAGCTGCGGGAGGCGGTGGGAAACTGAACGATTTCTGAAAGCTGCGGGGGGATGGGGGAAGGTTACAGGAAGCTGCAAATGGTTGTGGAAAGCTGTGGGAGCTTCGAGAGAAGTTATGCTGCTCTGATGCGCCAGTCTTTAGAAGGGACTGGATAAAACAAATTCCTGTGTGACTGAGAAGAGTTGGGTGAGGTAAGGGAAGGGATTAGTAAGAGGAAATGGTGAGGGTAAGGGAGGAGTTAGATGAGACGAGGGAGGGAAAAGGATGAGAAAGGACAAGATGATATCTATTAATTTTTTACAATAGAGAACAGCAACAACAAGCAATTCCATAAAAGTATCTTGGGCAAACACCAATCTTAAATATACAAAATAAAGACTTCGCTTCCATGCCGACACTCGGACCCAGATCTCGTCACACATTACCTGATAACGAGGACGTCAATACCGAGGCCTCCCAGCCCACCGAGAGTACCAAAGTTATAAACAAAATCTTACCCAATATTTGATACCAGTTGTGTCTTTGGGGACCCTCTATTATTGAGGCTATTCGTAGTTAGGGCGGTAGAGCTCCTGTCTCGCACTCAGTCGTGAGTACGAGGCTCCGATGGTACAAGTGAATGAAATGTATACATTTCTTCCAATTCCGCTAGTTGTGTCTGTGTACGTGTTTGTGTGCGCGCGTTTGTGTGTGCGCGTTTGTGTGTGCTTGTGTGTATACAAGCGAAAGTTTATACTGGAGCCCGCTTCTTGGAAGCAGGCTCCAGACCCTTCGTGGCTAGCTACGCAGCCAGACCTCCGCTCCCCTGGAAACAGCAAAGCTGCCGTACTTCGCAGGAACATGTATACCATTATTTCATTCACCTAGACTGTGAAAACTATGGAAAGAGAAAACTCTCGGCCTGTTAACAGTCGAAAAGTCTCTACTCATGTAGCCAGTGTTAAAAAAAAAAATGTCAGTCTGAAATATATGTAAAAATCCAGCCCATCCTCCTAAATTGATTGTACTTACAGTAATTATTTGGTCGAACGTATCAATATATACTGTTGGACCTCAAACAAAGTTAAAGTTTTGAATTATTAATTTTACGGAAAAATTTAAAGCTTAAAAGAAACTTAAACATTCCTAGGCTTAGTATAACATTTATATACTATATTAAGCCTAAGATGGCGTGTATTGAGTCTAGGATTACTTGGGGCTAATTCAACAAAGCAGGATGTGAACATTTTGTGGGTCCTACTGTAGATATCGGTAGTTTTAAGGGATAGATTATACACCTAACATTTTAGGAAGATGGACTGTATAAACCACACCTCATATATTGGCTAAACCCCTGGTGTATGTAACTATACCTTGGTTACACTCACAGCTCACCAAGGGACATGACAACTGAGTGGACAGCGCTTCTGATTCGTAGTCCTGAGGTTCCGAGTTCGATCCCCGGTGGAGGCAGAAACAAATGGGCAGAGTTTCTTTCACCCTGATGCCCGTTACCTAGCAGTAAATAAGTGCCTGGGAGTTAGAAAGCTACTACGGGTTGCTTCCTGGGGGAAGGGGGCGGGGGGGGAGAGGGAAGTTATGTAGCAAACAGGAGGCCTGGTCGAAGGACCGGGCCGCGGGGAAGCTAAGCCCCGAAATTATTTCAAAATAACGGCCTGCCTCAGTACAGGACTCGCTGAACACCATCTCACAGTACTGTGTACTACCAAGGGTTGATTGTAGTTAATTTTCGAAACATCGTCAGCATTTATTTACTGAAATGGTACCCCGAGTAATATAAAAGTCTATAACAACATATTGGAGCAGTTTTGATTTCACGTTGAAACTGTAGTTAGCCATTTTTCTTAAATACAATGCAAATTCAATATGCAGATGAGGAGTCACAATAACGTGTCTGAAAAAAAATCGACTTGATAATGGTGGGGAACGGACCGAAACGTCGTAGTCTCTTCACTTTCTAGTGTGTAAATTCAATACCTTCAAAGGTGCCCTTAGAGTAGGTTTTAGAATGTCATACCACAGGAGGTTACCTTGAGGTGCTTCCGGGGCTTAGTGTCCCCGCGGCCCGGTCGTCGACCAGGCCTCCTCCGACCAGGAGTAATATAGAAGAGTAATAACTAGGCTTAATTACTGCCGTTTTCATAAATAAGCGTAGGGATAAAGCAATGGAGAGAATGAAATCAAAATAAAGCTCAAGAATGCTCGGCAATTATCGGTGATAATGTTCATTAACGTACATCGCTGCATCCTGCTGGAAGGACTGTTAACTCGCTAACATAATTTCGAAACCTGAAAGCTCCACAAGCTGAAGTCACTGGTATTGGCTAAACGTATACTTCCCTTTACATTTAATATGCAAAATAGTACCTACATATTTAGGCAATTCAATTTCAGTAACACTGCAAAGGCGAAATCGCCCATTGTTTCTGGGCCCTGGTGGTAGGGGTTAGGCCGCCGCCTGCTAGGGGAGTGTCTGGAGCCGCGATTAGCACCCAAGCGTTACAATATATTTTGTGTGGCGCCGCTCAGTGTGTAACTCACGCCTATAACCACCTTAAATGTTAATGGTGTGTGGTAATACCTATTAAAGCTACGACAGAGCTCTGTGGTAATATTATGTCGGCAATACACGATAAATACTTGCATATACTGTACGGTGTGTGTGTATATATATATATAATCTATAAAATAAAAATGGAAATGTTCGTTTGTTCAAAATCGCTAATCTCCGAAAGTTCTTCACCGATTGCTTTGAAATTTTCACACAACGTTCCATTCGCATCCGAACGGGTTTATATATATATATATATATATATATATATATATATATATATATATATATATATATATACTTACTATATAGATGTCACGTCTGTGACAGGGGAAAAAAGAAACAGGCTTTAAAAAAAAAAAACTGCGTTTTTCATGTGAGGGAAATCTCTGAAACTTCTTTACCGATTACTTTGAAATTTTGACACGACGTTGCATTCGAATAGGCGCGTGTTTTCTTATACCTACTATATACATGCCTCACCTGTGAAAGAAAAAAACCCTGCTTTTTTTTAAACAGCGCCATCTTTTAGACGTAAGAGCAACACACGCTGTTATCTCCGAAAGTTCTTCACTGATTGCTTTGAAACGGAAGGGTGGAATGGTGGGAAGGAAAGGGGAACACAGAGGGTTGCTGTGTGCTGTGGCTCAGCATCGCGCATGCGTTGCTGAGCCACAGCAACGCGTGGCCGGGTACAGCTAGTAAGAAATATATATACATATTCATAACATGAAGGAATAACTAGGCTACAACGCATTATCAACCTTAAATTATAGGAACTAGAGTAATAAAGTGTGTGAGGCTAACAGGTGTAGACGCATTACCTAGCATGCTTGCTCAAGACGTACAAACATTACATAAGGGAGGACTAGAGGCAACTGTATGCGCAACACCATATCCTTAACTCTCACCAAATCATCGGGACGGTAGCAATGACAGGTACTGTAGAGGGGTTGTAGGAAGGCTAAGATGAACGACACGATGGGTTATACTTACATTCTTCCCTGGGTACTTCTTTAGGATGAGGAGGTTATTGATGAAGGCGTCCACATCGAAGGGATCTTCGAATCTCATCTTGCCCTTCGATACTACCATTCAAATGCTGTCCAACTGGCCTAAAGCTTGGGCTTGCCTCGCTGTTACACTAGCACACACTTCTGTCGCTCGAGTCCTTCCTTCGCAAACCCACAGCTTAATCTCAACGTTCCACCCGCACTTGTGTCCACGAAAAACAATGGCGCTATAATATTGAAAATCTCGCAAGTCCTATCTCCACCAAAACATTATTCTGTGAAGACGCATGTTTGCGGTAATAAGTAAGACTGTATGTGCTTCTCGGAGCGCAACCCGCTGCAGGAGCTACAAATTATTTCTTGGCACTCAGCTGCAGCCCGAAAAAAAGCTGCCCAGAGCAAAATAAACGTCACTAGACCTGCCCAGGCAAAGAGATGCACACCGCTTCTACCTTCTTGAGTTTCTCTGGCTTCACGCCCCCTCCCAGCCTTATATACGGAGCCACGCACCGCACTCTGCTCCTGCCGCCAGCTGCCAAACGTCGCCTAATGCGCGATTAGGCTCCCTATAACTATTATTTACGTAAGTGAAACGATCTTGGAATGATTACTAGTATTTGTTAAATGATATAATACGTTTAGCAACGCACACTGTACAAAATTAGCCATTCCCATTTTTGGGTCACCATCGAAAAATTGTAAGGAAACTCTTACACAACATAGTGATGGCATAATGCATATACTGTACCGTAGGCAGGCATGCATACAGGCCTGCAGATGGACAGGGAGGCAGGCAGACAGGCATGCATACAGACAGGTAGGAAGACAAACAAAAGGCAGGTATGAAGGTAGGCAGGCAGACAGGTAGGTAGATATGCATATAGGCAAGCAGATATGTAGGTAGGCAGGCAGAAAGGAAATAGAAGGAAGGAACAAAGATAAAGGAAGATAACTTTAAATGAGAAGAGAGGACCTGAAGAACGAAAACAGGGAAGGAGGGAAGATAGGGGGAATGGCATGTGAGGGTAGGTAGGAGGGAGGGCAGATAGGAGGGCAGATAGGCAGATGAGAGGGCAGAAAAGAAGGCAGGAAGGGGGAGGGGGGGAGGGCAGGAGGGAGAGCAGGCATGCTGCACAAGGAAGGTGGGCGACCAAAGGTAGTGTTGACAAGGGATCAGTGGCAACAGGACGTCCTGCCTCGCTCTTGTTCTAAGACTAGGAGGGGTCTTTGAGGGCACCTCCTCGTGCCCTCAAAGACCCCTCCTCACACACTCGACGTGCCCTCAAAGACCTTCCTATAGTCTCCTCAAGTCGCCGTTCCTCAAAAAGCCTTCACTTTCCCTACAAACTTTATTACCAAACACAATTTAATACCAAAAATGAAAAATTGATTTTAATTTTTCGACCACAAGGAAAACCTTTTCCTCTAACTAAATTTTGAGCTTTATTTGAGGGAAATCGGACATAGTTAATATATATTTTTAAACATATTTCACCGACGAAAGTGTAATAATTGGCGGGAAAAAGGCTAACTACTATTTTATTTATTTTCATGTGAAAGCATAAACCATAATGAGATTAATTAAACACAACTTATTTTTATGTACTTTTCAATGACTTATTTAATTAAGTGATATTGGTAACCTTTACAAAGTTACATAGTAAATTCTGGGAAAAAATTGATTTTTCTTTTTAATTTGTTAGGGAAATATTAATACTTGGTAAATATATAGCATTTTGGTATCTTAAATAATGATAAATTAATCTTCAATAATATTTGTTTAAACGGCTAGTAAAACCAAACGATGATTTTATTTATTTTTTGTTTCGGGAAGGAAGTGGAGAGGATTTCCGGCCCACTCCCTGACCCCAAGCCCACTCCCTGACCCCATGCCCACTCCCTGACCCCACGCCCACCTCTAACCCCCTCCAAATCCCTGACCCTCCACACTGGGCCACATCCACTACGACTCCCACACACTTCTGACTTCCACCCAACCACTTGGGCTGGACGGTCTCGCTTCATGTAGGTTGGCGTTCAATCCCCGACCGTCCAAGTGGTGGGTGTTACGTACCCTTATAAGATACGTAAGTAAATATATTAAAATGTACATTTATAATTGTATGTAAATTACAAGCATGTATATTGTTATACTTATATGTTCTATGCAAATGCACATTCATGTTACAGTGTTGGCGTTAGGCCCAACGTATCGTGGGAATGATTGTTTATTTCTTTGTGTGATCAGTTTTCCCACGGGAACTAATGATTTATATGTGATCATAAGTGGGTAACAGTGAAATAATAATTGAGTGAACTGTATCTGGCAAATTGTCGTGGGATCGTCCGTTGTTGGGTGTGCATGCCATTATTTCTTTCTGTATGCATATTTTAATTACTATGTAAAGAAACAATTGCTTTGTTTGTCTATATCAATATGTACTAATTATTCATTAAGTTAGTTTAAGATTACTCTTGTCACAATGTAGTGCTCCATTGTTGAAATATTAAATATTGTAACTTTGGCAATTTATTCGCGGGGCAAGGCAATGTGTTTTTTGACTCTCATATTGTAGTTCAGTAGCTGAGCAGAAACCAGGGAGATATCATCTTGGAGTTAAGTCATTCTTTTGTTCTAGCCATATAATTATTCTTAGTATTGATTTAATGTCTGGAAGTTACAGTGAATTTTTTAATGTGATATATTGTGACTATATAATCATCTGTTTGCCTTTGAGATTTATTTAATATAAATTATATATATATGCTTAATCTTTATTCTTCAGTCCTATGAAGATTCTATTTTATGCTCATTACCCATTAAGGGGTTATACTGGTGATTCGCTATTGAGAACAGCAGTTGTGTCGTATCCCTAGACTTATTAAAGTTTGGCTGCTGTAGGATCACGAGCCGTAACGTACGATAGGTAACAGTGGGCAACATCCCAAAATCCTTGTCTTGACCCCTTCCACGTGCTATTAGTCGTAATGGCTTGGCGCCTTTCCATAATTCCCCCCTTTCCTTCCACTTAACCACAGCCTCCCCCATCCACTCGCTGCCTCTAAGAGTGCTGGGAATAGGGTGTCCAATAAGAGCTTTAAAGTATGGTTCACGAACGCCTATGGAGTTGGAAATAAGAGTGAAAATGCTTTGATTGCAATCGTAGAAACGAAAATAATTGACATGATTTCTGATGCAACATTTCCAGGGGGATTCCAAGTAATAAGGAAAGAAAGCAAGCAAAGACAACACGGGGTTGTGCTCCTAGTAAAATAGGAAACCAGAAATCCCCATAGTGGGGTAGAAACGTGGGGAGCGAAATTGGTGGACGTTGTAGAAAGAAACTTCTTAACACAGCTTGGAAAGAGGACTTAAGAAAAAGTGGGAGATACACCAATTCTACTGGTGGGGGACGACGAGGTGAAGAAGACGGCACCCGGGCACCACCGGATACGCTTCTAAATAAAGGGCGATTGGGGAACGACGAGAGGGGGAAAGTTGGAAGAGGGGCGGGATGGGAGGTGGGAAATATATGTAAAAGTAACGCAGATTATTACCTTGCTTTCTGGGATTGTAGGTTCAGAGGAAGAAACTGACAGACTCGGGCAACGCCGAACATGTATATGCACTGTATAGGGCATAAGATTTCACATAATAGGCCTAGGATTGCTTATTTAGGTCTAAAATAGTTGAAGTTGAAGAAAAAAATGCTGCAGTGTTTTGAATGCACTTTAGTATACCTCATTAGTGTACCAATAGTACAGAATGTGGATCTCTCTTTTTTTTTTGGGTACAGCAGATTATATGTTGTAGACCATCCATCCATAGTAGCTAGAACTGGAGAGTCACGCGAGGCTGTAAACATATACCACTAGTAATATTAAACAATCAACACCTTGATCAAAGTCGACGAAGTTCCACATTATTTTCAAATTCAAAAAATTCAAATGTTTATTTAGGTAAAGTACATACATACAAGGGGTGATACAAATATTGATGAATTTATAGATAGAGCTAGTACATACAATGCCTAAAGCCACTATTACGCAAAGCGTTTCGAGCAGAAGTTTTATTTTGAAGTTTCCGCGAATTAAATTTTGAATCGGTTCATGTTTATATATTTACAATTATGTCAATTAGATAAGGTGTCACTGATTTTGCACTTCCCGCCACTTGATGGGGGCTGTTGATGAGGTGTTGGGTATGCAGGCCCCACACGCCGCACGCCCTCCCGCTGTGGGAATATAATAAGCAGGTCTCCTGTAGCCTCGCCTTGTCAATGTAGTGTAAACTCGTTATCACCCGTTAAAGCCGGGACCACCAAACCTCGCACATCCGGTTATTGACGATAAACAAGTCCATAAAGATCGCACGGTTCGCAATATTTTCTAAACATGAACGGCTCTGTGATGGTGCATACACAGTGGCTAGCACTAGACATATTCATTGATAAAGTACAATCCAAGGGGATATATACACACCAAGAAGTGAACATTTGTTCTCGGTGAGAGTTTTCTTTAGTCACGAAATACATGTTTAAAGCATGCTTATCGGTTGATCAGTAATTTACAACATAAGAGTGATGTATGGGAGCTACTCACTCCCTCACTTGACTCGCATTACTGCCACTAAAAGAGACGCAGCCCGTCCTCCTAAGATTTCCTAACGTCAAAAAACTGCCGTACTAAAGTTCCCTATCCTAACCTACCCAGCAAACGGGAGAGAATGTAATTTTTGTGAGCCGCTACCATTTTCTAGTACGACAATTTTTGTTCTTAAGTAGAGAATACGTCAAAATGCGACGCTATATTTGGAGGACGGGTTGTCCTAGCGACGGCGCTCCAGGCAACCTGAGTCGTCCGGCTTACTCGGCCAGCTTAGAAAAGGATTCTTTCCATAAACGTTTTTCATGCCATTTTGAAACGTTATGAGAATTCCCTGCCCACCTAACCTATCAGAGGACCCTTAACTTACTGTTGTTGAAAAAAAAAATCCCAAATTTATATATTTTTTTTTTAATTTTCAAATTACGTCCATATTCGCCATACGGGCAAACGGCCAAAAGCGACGTTCTTTTTAAGAGGACAGGTTGCTCCAGGAGTAATCACCCCTGTCCTCTATAACAGGCCATCACATTTAGACGTATATATTCCCTAACGCCAAAATCTGATTTACTACAAATCATAGCGGCTCGCAAAATTGATGTGATGTCCCGTTTTCAATTCGTGGGTCCTCGGGTTAGGTTAGCTTTGGGCAATTTAGCACATCAGTTTAGCGACGTTGTGGACGCTTAAGAAGATGGGCTTAGTTATCACCGGCTGTCATTAGGCTTGTATCTGAATTTTAATGTATTATTTCAGTGAAACACGATGATTCCTAATAGGGTTCTGACGTCATATGTCGATAATGCTGCTGAGGTTACATGACCTAATGTAGTCAATGGGAGGAGGCTTATGACGCCATGTGTCGG